CGATCATTCTGAGGAGGATTACGCCTCGAACCGTTGTTTCTTCGATCTGCGATATATGGCTGATACCATTCCCTATTTGATATTGGTTCCCTGTCGGTATCCCTTGGGGCTTTAACTGCCAATCTATTTGGATGAACTGAACCCAAAGGGGCCCCCAGCTGGTCGTCCTCGACCCTGATCTTCGATTGGTAACGATTATGTACATCTGCCCAAGTCATGGCTGGATATTCGATCAGATTTTGCTTCAACTGTCGTGACATTATCGAACTCCGCTCGTTCAACCCCTGTGTAAAAGCTTGCATGGCCCAATCGTCTGATATCGGTGGTAATTCCATTCGCTCCATTTGAAATCGGTATACGAACTCTTTTAGCATTTCATCGCCCCTCTGTCTTATCTTACAAACGTCTGATTTCCTTGTTGCACCCCTTATAGCCCCGCCGTGTACCTTCACGAAGGCGTTTGCTAACATGGCGAATGAATCGATGGAGTTCGGTGGCAAGTTGTGATACCAAATCATTGCTCCTTTTGACAAATTTTCCCCAAATCTTTTCAACAAACCCGACTCGATCTCGTCATCATTTAAGTTGTTTCCTTTAATCCCGTATGTGTACGAGGTGATGTGTTCATTAGGATCGCCCGTCCCGTTGTACTTAGGTATATCTGGCATACGGAACTTCTTGGGAATGGGCTTTGGAGCCGCACTCGGAGGGAATGGCCTTTGTACGAACTTTTTGGCATCCAAACCCTTTAAGATCGGGGGTGCCCCCGGTATTTGATCAACACGGGAGTTATACGTCTCCACTTTTTCCTCAATCTTTTTTTCCCCCAACTCGATTCTTTTGGTGAGTTCCTCGAGCATCCTAATAATCGTGGGATCAGTCCCCGAGCCATTATCGTTCGATCTTTCTGGTACCAGCTCAGTTCGGCGAGTAATTTCTGGTTCGACCACACTTGGGGCTTTATGCTAACCTTGAAGCTGAGCGATAACAACTTGTTGAGCTTGTAGCATCTCGAATATTACTTGGAGGCTAACTCCTCTATCTCCTATACTATTAGAAACTGTGCGTCCACCAGACTGTATAGAGAACCGGGTTCTCTATGAGTTTTTACTGAAGATACTGATGAACCAAACTGTATAGCGATCTAGTCCTATATCAGTTCCCCCGGTGCTAACTACTGAACCAGTATATGGAATCAGGTTCTCTAATTATTCCACAGTAGCTCGGCAGTAAGTAAAGAACACAGAGGATTTTTACGTGGAAAAATCCCAACTCAAGGGGACAAAAACCACGACCTACACTTGTAGGATTTCAACTTCACTAACTTGTAAACACCTATTACAAGCCACTTTGTAATGACTCTACTACCAAGAATTCAACTAACTTGTGGTACTCTTACCACAAGCCACTTTGTGACTCCCTAGTTACAAAGACTTTAACTAACTTGTGATGCTGTCACCACAAGCCCCTTTGTGACTCTCTAGTTACAAAGAATTTAACTAACTTGTGATGCCCTCACCACAAGCCACTTTGTAATAACTCTATTACAAAGGCTTTACAACTCGACTAACTCTAGCCAAGACACAAAGTTAGAGGGTTTGTGATTTGGGTTTCCTAAAAAACAGCTTCTAAGAAAGCAAGATAAGAGTTACAATGAAGAACAAATAACAAGGACTCAACAAACCTAAGGACTTAAGATATCTTCGATCTTGGATCAGGTCCTTGAGGTTGCAGCAGCTTTGTTCTTGAGAGAGGTTGTTCTTGCACTTGAGAGAGAATTTTTGTTTCGGATTTTGCAAGTCTTGAACCTGAATCTTGTGCCTTGCATAAGGTTTATACTACAAAAGACATCACCTTAGTGATGTCAAATCTTGGTTAGTACATGCCTCTTCTCAATGGGAAGTGACTGCTGCACTGTCTGCTGCACTATTGCATGCAGTCATTCTGCAGTTGCTTTCCAACTGTACAGTTGACCTATACTTCTGTCAGGGTAACACCAAGGGATCAAGTTCCTAATCTGGTTCCTGTGAATCTAAAGCACACTGCCCAGATTATCTTGAGTCGATTAACTTGAATGGTTGTACCAAGCATGGTTCAGGTCCTTTATCTGGTTCTCTCTTGAAGTAAGTTGTTTTACCTTCCTTGATTGTATTTATACGTGAGTGACATCATTTACAATGATGTAAGCAAGGTAGGTAAAGAGCCTTCAACAGAAAGTTGACTGCTGCGTTGTTCCTGTGCAGTAGCGTGTGCAGGCAGCGACTTTCCTGCTGGAGAGTTAACTTCATACAATCTCCTGGGGAACTGGTAGGGACCTGTTACCTCAGCTGTTCCTTCCACTCTGAAGAGTTGAGTTATATCCCACACTGGATCCCAACCTAGAACTTTGTGATCTCAAGGTCTTGTAAATGCGTAACAGGTTCCTCATCTGGTTCTGGATGGTAAGTTTGTTAGATCATCAAAACATAAAGTAAAGTACTGTGCCCAAGGTACTTGTAACCTATCAATTTCCCCCTTTTTGATGACGACAAACTTAGAATAGATATTCCCCCTAAGAACCAGATCTCCATATTGTTCCCCCTACAAATCAGCCATATTCCCCATGAGAACCGAACCTAAGGAGCTGATCACAGCTGGTTCCTCAAGACTGTTTGGCAAATCATCAAAACTCAAAGTTCCATAACTTATCATATACCCTGTGTTCCTTGACCGCCAGATCGGACATCCCTGCGTACACTACCTCCGGGGTCTATGCCTAAGTCCGCATTCAAAGTAATATGTGAACTGACGTCGACCGATTCTACAATCGGCACTTCCCTAGGGTTAATCGGTGGTACACCGGCTCCAGGAGCAACTCTATTGTTATTTTCCCCGTGAAATTCGAGACCATCATCGCCATGTACGGATGCGTTTTATGAGTTTGACATGTTTTAACCTGAGAACAAAATTTCTTGACAAGAACAAGTGTGAAAATAACGTGTGTTATCAGAATCAGTACTGAAATAATCGCTATTATCTTTAGCCCCACGGCAGGCGCCAAACTGTTTACCCTAAAATCCGAGTAACAATTAAACTTCTTTTGTGGTCTTAAAGATACATGATTTAGTCCAATACTAATTGATAACCAAGAAACCAAACGTATAAATTAAAGAAGTAAGTTGAATCAAATCAGTGCTTCAGCAAGTCTTGACCTTGAGCTATGATGGCCTCGAGCTAAGTCGATAAGAACAGTAAAGTAAGGACAATAAAGTTAAGAGACAATTCTGATGAGTAATGAGGAAGAAAGTAAGAGCGTATATTCTTTTGCCAATGATTGAGTGATGCGTTACAAATGATTGGAGTCCCCTTTATATAGTAGGGGGAATCCAAAATAAAGTACCATTCTAATAGTGGCAGGGAATCTTATTATATAGTTGTCTAACCGCCTAGTACAAATACGTTTCGGAATTTACGTCGTGATCTTAGGGCCACCAGGGAAATCTCGCTCTTTCTATTATGAAACCATAACGGTATTATCTCGAGGTCGGTCACATTTGGCCTCGGTGTTCATCGAGCACTTCGATCTTCGAAGCTTGCACTCTGCCATCGGGCTCACGCCTGATCTATGTCGATCTTGTCCTCGAAATTACCCTCGAGCCCACGAAATCGGGCATACCTGATTTTGACCGTATACACAAACCATTGCAACTTTCTTGCAAAAGTGGTCATTTCTAATCTCTTGTATGTTGCACATTCGTACCTCTACAATACTCATCTTATGGGTGTGTTCGAATTTTAGGAGTCCAACAATTAGAAACATATAACGGTATAGGATTTTCTGTCATATAATACCTTAGTAACACTTCTTGAATTCAATCATAAATATTTCTTCATTTCTCCTACTCTCATAGATTGCATATGATTTATCTAAAATCGACCATGTTTTATTTATGATCGCCTAAGTGATCTCCGATTTATTGCTTATTAGTTATTACCATGATCATATTTTCATAAAGCGAGAGATTTTGGTGAAGTTATAAATGACCTATGTATTATCTAGAAATTTATGATGACCCGCCCATGTCATCACGCCACATAGGCATCATTTTTGCATATATTAATGCCATGTGGAAACTTACATAGGAGGAAGGCTAGCATTTGTGAGAAGATTCTAGAGAAGTATGGACATTTTCTCAGGAAGATCCTAGATCCCTATAGATTTGCTAGGAAAGTCCTTAGAAGATTCTAACTCTGTAGAAAATTTTAGAGAAGGGACTTGTGTAACAATTAATATTTACACACTAGCCCCTATGAGACTAGTATATAAAGGGGGCCATTCATTTGTAATTCACCAAGCAAACAATTATAGTTCTCTCTAATATAAAGCCTCCCTTAACAATTCTCTTGTGTTCTTTCTACCATTCTCTTAGCGATCTTGAGTGTAGTAAAGCTGACTTGGCATAGCAAGAACGTGAGCAAGTTGTGCAAGATCATGCAAGTTCCGTACGTGTACTTAGTTAACGACTAAGGACGTGACATTGTAGTATCAGAGCGAAGGTTGCAACTAAGGGAATGGCAAACGACGGAGAAATTAACACTGCCAACACCCAAGCGAACGTCATCCAGGATACTGCTGGCAAGAAGGGCCGTAACAAGAAGAGGAATGCCACCAACAAGAGCCAGGAGGTGCCACCTGAAGTTGTGTCAAACGAAGGGCTTACATCCTAAGAACCATCTGCCACTGAGCCGAGCGAGGATCAAGTGTAGGTCCTACCCGAGGACGTCTCGCTCGGTAAAGAGTGGGTGATGAAGATGAATGCGGGGATGGACGTCGTGGATCTTTGGCCAGCGCTTGGGGAAGGTGAAAGGCACCCTTAGTGTTCTTGAGGGGCACACTCTTGAAGAGATTGAGAGTATCCAAAATGACTTGGAGGGACTTACTCAATCCAAGATGGAACTAAGGCAAACCATCACTGCCTTAGAGTGCAGACTCATGGAGGCTTTGAGTACTATTGATGACTATGAAGGCAAAGATAGAGTCACTCGAGGAGCATGTCGATGCTGGTGTGACCGAGGCAGCCAGCAATGTTGTGGTGATGAGGGAGGCCAAGATTGAGGCTCCCAAACCCCCGGTGTTCAAAGGTGTTCGTGATGCACAAGAAGTGGAAAATTTCCTTTGGCACTTGGAGAACTACTTATGGCACAGAAAAGTGAGGGACGACGAGGCCAAGATCAACACTGTCGTGTTGTACCTCTTAGAGACTGCCATGCTATGGTGGAAAAGGAAGATGGCCGACGTGGATAAAGGTCTATGTACTATTAGCACGTGGGATCAGTTCAAAACTGAGTTCAAGTGATAGTTCTTTCCAAACAATGTCTTGTACGAAGCAAGGCGCAAATTTAGGGAGTTGAAGCAAACAAGGAGCATATGTGACTATGTCAAGCAGTTCACTACCCTTATGCTTCAAATTCCTAGCCTAACCAATGATGACTTGCTGTTCCACTTCATGGATGGGTTGCAAAATAGGGCCAAACAGGAGTTGCAACGCCGGCAAGTCGCGGATATAGACCAAGCCATAGTGGAGGCCAAAACATTGATGGATTTCAGGCATGACAAGCACGACAAGGGCAAAGGCAAGGAGTCAAAGGTTAACAATGTCAAAGGTGGGGGATACCGTGGCAAGGTCAAGGAGATACAAAAACAATACCCCAAGACTCAAGATTACAGAAAGTCAAATGGCCATCAGGGCTACGCTGAGAAGAAGGCACAGGCTGAGAAGAAGGGATGCTACAAATGCGAAGGGCTGCATGGCTTCAAGAATTGTCCCGACCTAAAGAGCCTCAGTGCCACGGTCCGTGAACGGAAGGAGCAGTTGCACGGAAAAAGTTTGGGAACTGCACAGTTGGGTATGATTGAATTATGTGGTGCTGTCACGAAGCAAGCTATCCAACCTACCGAGAATGGCAATAAATACATGGATCTCACCATCAATAACAAGCCCGCTCGTGCAACGGTGGATACTAGAGCAACTCATAATTTCGTGACTGAGTCTGCCACAAAGAGACTAGGATTGAAGCTTGCTCCAACCAACTCTCGCGTCACGACCGTGAATGTCGAGCTACAAAATGCTAGCGGGGTAGCTAATAGAGTTGGTGTCAAATTGGGAAATTGGAAAGGTATGACAAACTTTACCGTAACCGCTATGGATATCTTTGACATCATACTGGGGCAAGAGTTCTTTACACATTGCCATACTTTGATCAACCCCTACCTCCAATGTCTCTTGGTTATGGAGCGAGAAGGAGCTTGCATGGTACCTACAGTGACTATGCCACATAGACAGATCCAAGTACAACTCTCAGCTATGCAGGTTGTCAAGGGGATCAAGAAGGGGGAGCCGACGTTCGTGGAAACTATTGCAAGTCTAGAGGAAGACAAGAGTTTTCAAGAGACACTGCTACCTTTCATAGAGGAGTTGCTTGAGGAAAACAAAGATGTCATGCCCGAGGAGTTGCCTATGCACTTGCCGCCTGGGCGAGAGGTGGATCACAAGATTGAGTTGGAGCTAGGGGCTAAGCCACCCGCATTTTCCCCATATCGTATGGCACCTCCCGAGCTAGAGGAGCTCAAGAAACAATTGAAAGAGCTGCTAGATACTGGTCACATTCTCCCATCAAAGGCACCTTTCGGCGCACCAGTACTATTCCAGAAGAAGAAGCATGGATCGCTACGCTTGTGCATAGACTACCGAGCACTTAATAAAGTCACAATGAAGAATAAGTACCCAATCCTGCTCATTGTTGACTTGTTTGATAGACTTGGGCAAGCCAAGAACTTTACCAAGGTGGATCTTCGCAAGGTCTACTACCAAGTTCTCATTGCAGAAGGGGATGAGCCAAAGACAACATGTGTGACGAGATATGGAGCCTTTGAGTGCTTGGTGATGCCCTTCGGCTTAACCAATGCACCAACCACATTTTGCTCCCTTATGAAGAAGATTTTTGATCCCTAACTTGATCAGTTCGTGGTAGTCTACCTAGACGACATAGTCATCTATAGCGACACCTTGGAGGAGCACATGGAGCACTTAAGGAAGGTTTTCAAAGTCTTGCGAGAGAATGAGCTATACATCAAGAGGGTGAAATGTGAGTTTGCACAATCAAAGGTGCACTTCTTAGGCCATGTTATTAGCAACGGCGAGCTACATATGGACGAGGCTAAGGTAGTTCTATCCAGGAGTGGGAGGCACCTAAAAAGGTAACCGATTTGAGATCCTTCCTTGGCCTGTTAACTACTATCGTCGGTTCATCAGTGGCTACACAGCAAAGGCCACACCATTGACTGAGTTGCTAAAGAAGAACAAGCCATGGGTTTGGATGGAGCACTGCCAAAAGGCGTTTGAAGGCCTCAAGGCAGCTGTAACAGAGGAGCCAGTCTTGGCATTACCTGACTTTGCCAAGACATTTGAGGTGCACACAGATGCCTCAGACTGTTCCATTGGGGGTGTCCTGGTGCAGGATAAGCATCCTATAGCATTTGAGATCCGCAAGTTAAATGAGACGGAGCAACGTTACACGATGCAAGAGAAGGAAATGACTGCCACTGTGCATTGCCTTCGTACATGGCGACATTATTTGCTCCGATCGAGGATCGTGGTCAAGACCGACAATGTGGCTACTAGTTGCTTTCAGACGTAGAAAAAGCTCACACCAAAATAAGCTAGGTGGCAGGATTTCTTGGCTGAGTTTGATTATATGCTGGAGTACAAGCCGGGCAAAGGTAATGTTGTAGCTGATGCCTTGAGCCGGAAAGCCAAGCTTGCTGCCATCACTTCAGCAAGTTGGGACATTTGTGAGGCTATAAAAGAAGGCATGCAACATGATCCAGCAGCCAAACAGCTTATCGAGTTAGCCAACCAGGGCAAGACGAGACGTTTTAGGTAGTAGACGGCCTATTGCTTACCACGGGTCGGCGGGTATACGTGCCTAAGTTTGGATACATTAGACGGCGGATCATAAGGGAGATTCATGACACAATGTGGGCCGGTCATCCAAGCCAACGTTGCACTAGGGCCTTGGTTGAGTCAGTCTAATATTGGCCACGCATGCGAGATGACATAGAGTGTTATGTGCAGACTTGTCTTGTATGCCAGCAGGACAAGGTTGAGCAACAACAGCCCTGAGGTCTTTTGGAGGCACTATCAATTGCAGAGCGTCCATGGGAGAGCTTGACTATGGACTTTATCACTTGCCTAGCGAAGTCCGACGGTTATGGTACTATTATGGTGGTCGTGAATAGATTTTCCAAATATGCCACCTTTATGCACGCCTCACCATGTTACACTACCAAGGAAGTCGCCAAGCTATTCATTAAGAATGTGGTGAAGTATTGGGGCTTACCAAGGCATATCATTAGTGATCGAGACCCCCGTTTTACTGGGAACTTTTGGAGAGAGTTATTCGACATACTTTCTACGGAACTGCACTTTTCCACTAGTTTCTACCCACAGATGGATGGACAAATGGAACGTGTCAATGCCTTACTAGAATGCTACTTGAGGCATTATGTAAGCGCACATCAGAAATATTGGGCAAGGCTCCTAGACATCGCCCAATTCTCTTATAACTTGCAGCAGAGTGAGTCCGCAGGGCGGACACCATTCGAGCTAGCCACAAGCCAACAGCCACAAACTCCACATTCATTACCAGCCGCATTTGAAGGAAAGAGTTTAGGGGCTTATCATATGGCCCAAGGATGGGAGGAGCAGCTTGACACTCTAAGTCCTACTTGGATAAGGCAGCTAAGAAAATGAAGAATTTTGCGGACCGTAAGCGGCGTCCCACGGACTATAGAGTTGGGGACATGGTCATGGTAAAGTTTAACCCAAGACAGTTCAAGGCACTACGGGGCATGCATCAGAATCTGATTCGCAAGTATGAGGGGCCATTTAAGATCGTCGCCAAGGTAGGAAAGATCTCATACAAGCTTGATACGCCGTCGTATCATACGATCTATCATGTCTTGCATGCTAGCATACTTAAGCCATATCATGAAGACAAGGATGATCCGAGTAGGGGCCAATCAAGTCGAGCGCCTATTATTATCACCGCCTCGCATGATCGGGAGAATAAGGCTATCAGTGATTACCGGGCCAGGAGAAAACAAGGACAGAAAGCCACGGCCATGTTTCTCGTCCATTGGAAGGGCAATCACCGGAGGAGGCCACGTGGGAACGATATAAACACTTATGGCAATTCAAAGATAAGATCCGAGAGTTTATGCAGCAGTATTGCGCCGCGGTCGTCACAACATTAGGTAGGGGAGAGTGTGATGACCCGCCATGTCATCACGCAACATAGGCATCATTTGGCATATATTAATGCCATGTGGAAGCTTACATAGGAGGAAGGCTAGCATTTGTGAGAAGATTCTAGAGAAGTATGGATATTTTCTTAGGAAGATCCTAGATCCTTATAGATTTGCTTGGAAAGTCCTTAGAAGATTCTAGCTCTGTAGAAAATTTTAGAGAAGGGACTTACTTGTAAGTAATAAGGGACTTGTGTAACAATTAATATTTACACACTAGCCCCTATGAGACTAGTATATAAAGGGGGCCATTCGTTTGTAATTCACCAAGCAAACAATTCAAGTTCTCTCAAATACAAAGCTTCCCTTAACAATTCTCTTGTGTTCTTTCTACCATTCTCTTAGCGATCTTGAGTGTAGTAAGGCTGACTTGGCATAGCAAGAACGTGAGCAAGTTGTGCAAGATTGTGAGTGAGTTGTCAAGTGCCGCACGTGTACTTAGCTAACGACTAAGGACGTGACAAATTACTCGTGTATTACTTATGGTCCCCTAAGTGATCTCCGGTTGATCGTTTATTAGTCATTACCATAATAAATTGTTTATAAAGAGGGAGTTCCTGGTAAATCATAGATCGTCTATGTGTTAACTAAAAATCGTCCACGCATAATTTATGATCGCCTACGTGATCTCCGATTGATCGCTTATTAGTTATTACCAAGATCATTTTTATAAAGTAGGTGATCATGGTAAACTCATAAATTGTCTAGTGTTATCAAGAAATCGTCCATGTATTATTTATAATCGTGTAAGTATTCTCCGGTTAATTGCTTATTAGCGATCGTAGTGAAATCATAGATTGCCGATGTGTTATCCAGAAGTTGCCCATGTATTATTTATGATCGCCTAAGTGATGTATGATTGATCGCGTATTAGTTATTAGGAGAATTGTTTTAATAAGTTGGGAGATCCTAGTGAAAACATAGATCTCTTATATGTTTTTTAGAAATTGCACATGTATTATTTATGATGGGCTAAGTGACCTCTGGTTGATCACTTATTAGTTATTACCAATATCATTTACTTATAAAGTTGGAGATCCTAGTGAAATCATAGATCACTGATGTGTTATATAGAAATCACCCATGTATTATTTATGATATCCTAATGTCACGATCCGGATTTCCCACCCTCGGGAGTCATGATGGCGCCTACTAGTGAAAGCTAGGCAAGCCAACCATTTGTATTATTTATCTTTTTCCCATTTTAATCCTTTAACAATTAAGAACCAACATTATGTAAATAGTGGAATTTAATAAGCGGAAGAACAAAATACAACCATTTAAATATTACCAATACAAATCCTTAAACATAAACTACCCAGAACTGGTGTCACAATTTCACATACGATCTAGGAATTCTACAAACAAGGTCCGAAAAATAAATACAAAAATGTCTCTGAAATACATAAATGAAACAGGATGAAAGGATAGAAGGAGACGCCAAGGCCTGGGGACGCCTGCAGGACTACCTCGGATCTCCGAATGGACTAACGGCAGCAACCCAAAGCTAAGGTCCATGTGCTCCAGTACCGGGATCTGCACACAGTGCAGAGTGTAGTATCAGCACAACCGACCCCATGTGCTGGTAAGTGCCTAGCCTAACCTCGGCGAAGTAGTTACGAGGCTAGGACCAGACTACCAAATAAACCTGTGCAGTTAAATCATATACAGTGGAAAATAAAAGCAAAACTTTACAATTAAAGATAGGAAGGGGGAATCATGCTGCGGGGAACAACAAGTAGCAACAGAAACCAACGGTCAAATGTAAAGAACACCATAACTCAAATTATCAATAGAAATCAAGAAAATCAAAGACAAGTGCACGGCATCACCCTTCGTGCTTTTACTCTCGTCCTCACCATAAAATCAATATAATCGGCACGGCATCACCCTTCGTGCTTTTACCTCACATAATTATGGCACGGAATGATCCTTCGTGCATTACCACTCATATAAAGGCACGAAATTGTACATCGTACGGCACGGCATCACCCTTCGTGCTTTAACACTCTCTCACAAATATCATGCACAGCATCACCCTTCGTGCTTTATCACTCTCTCACAAATATCTTGCACGGTATCACCCTTCGTGCTTTAACACTCTTCCTTACCCAAACAACAATCACAAAGCAATAAGGGCAAGGGAATCAATAGAATCACAATAAAATCCCGGCAAGGGAACATTAGTACGACAATCATATCCCGGCAAGGGAAACAATATCAGAAACCTCTTCTCTTTTCCACATTTACTTCACTACTCAATTCACAACTTGAGCCAATGCTCTATAACGTTCAATTGCCAATAATACTTCCACAAATCATTTTACAACTTGAGCCAACGCTCTTCAAGGTTCAATTACCAATATTACATCCACAAATGATTTTACAACTTGAGCCAACGCTCTTCAAGGTTAAATTACCAATATTACTTCCACAAGCCTCGTTTAACAATAGAAATCATCACATAAGGCATGAACAATACAAAACGGAGTCACATTAATCATAGTAAAGACTCACGGGCATGCTTGACACCAACGTATAGATACTCGTCACCATGCCTATACGTCGTACTCAACAGGTAACACATAGCAAATAGGATACAACTCTTAATCCCTCAAGCTAAGGTTAGACCAAACACTTACCTCG